ATTACTGGGAAGTTTAAATGGCCCAGGAACAAGCCACACAAGATTGCCTCTGTAGTGCCAACAGTTAAAGGGCCGCCCAGCACAGACCCAGCCAGCACTGCTGACTTATGGGCATTGGCTCACCTGTTGCTTCCACTGGTGGTATGAGAGGAGGGAACTGGTGAACTGACTCGGATTGTTGCTGCTGCTGGAAGTGACTCCTGGTGCACAGGCAAAGCTGCAGAGCTTGGCTCTAGGGCAGTGTCCCCCTGGGAGCTTTCCCACTAAATTCAATGGCCAGTCCACTTGTGTGACCGGAGCTTAACTCCATTGAGCCAGAGCCCATCCCCATTAATCAGAAACACAGATTTAACCCTGGGGCATGATTTGACTCAACTTTTGCTTGGATTAACTCTTAGAATAAGATTATTTTAGACATTAAAATTTAGCTGATTATGGAAACCACAGGCCGGCAGCTCCCACAGTTGAAAGGAAGTGACATGTATGAGTTTTGGCAAATCATTTCTTGCCGCACAGGTGCCTGTTAGTGCACGAGGAATGCACAGATTCATTAAGAGATCCAAATTGGTTCTGTTCCACTGGCTTTTGCAGGGTGACTCCTAATGTGATTTTATTAGATTTTAAATCATCCTGACTTGCGCTGGATGAGTGATTGATTCATGATGAAGGCCAGATGCTTAATTAACTGCTCCAACTCTCCTACCCCCTGCACCCCTGACCAAGCGCTGGGTAGCTGTTGTGGTGGCGTCATTATGAAACTGCCAACTCACAGCAGAGAAGTCCGAGCCTGTCTGGTCCATTACGTACATGTCTCCCTAGTTGCCTGTAACAAGTCCGCTTCAAGGTCGAGGCTGTGAGCAGATTCACAGCATGCAATCAAAACCTTCCATTCCTAACCCGTCAGCTGCACACCGGTAGAATTCCCACCCATGAACAGAGGAAGGGTGTAATTAACTCATCAAGCAAAATTAGCATGGGAGACTGATGCGGTCTGATACTTTAGCCAGGATCCCAAAGACCTGTGGTGGACTGTTAGTGGGAAGATAAAGGGGGGGAGGGGGGGGAGTCCATTGAAGGCTTTGTTGCTTCCCTCCAGATTTTAGAGATGATTTGTGAATTTTATGGCAAAATGTTTTGCATTAGTCAGTAACCCCTTTGGATTATTAGTATCTTATCTACTATACCTGACCTTCGCTCAGGAAAACACATGCAGGGATTGTTTCTCCTCCATTCTGTCCTCCAGACAGCACCTTGAGAGGTGAAGCAGAAGAGTGAGAGGTGCAAGTTCACCCTCCGAACTTCATGGCAGGAACAGAGATTTGAACTTGTCCCTAGTTGAACACTCTAACCGCTATACTACACAGCCGTCCAATAGTTTGTCCAGGGGTCATTTCGTAGAAAAAGAGCTAGGGGAACTCATGAGCATAACTCATTAGCATATGCCACACCCCCTGACATCAGGGGCCCGGCGGTGGACCTGCAAGGCCAGCGGGAGTGCGAGGAAGCCCCGCCAAGGCCCTCCCTGGCCCAGGCAGGCAGGGGTGGGGAGAGGCGGGGAGGAAGCAACTTACCCTCCCTCTTCTCCTGCCTCCTCCTGGCTGAATGAGGGCTGGAAGTGGGGCGGCCGGAAGCAGGGGGCGGGGCTTCGTCATGTGCCACGCCCCCCTGAACCTCACCCGGGGGAACTGGGTTCCCCCGCGTTCCCCCCCGAAATGACCTCTGAGTTTGTCCGTGCAGCTTGGTCAGAAATGGTTATAAATTGCTGGATTCAGAAGCAGGAAGAGGTCCCAGCATTGCCTTTCAGGAAGTGGTATCAATAATCCACTCTGACTAAAAATTTTACATGTTCACTAGGTTAGAAACCATTCAAAAGCCAGATTGTTGATTAAAAACATAGTGGGAGTTTGCTTCTAA